AGGGAAACCCACATGGGGTATATGGGAACTCTCTGCACTACACAATTTTTCTATAAATCTAATAGTGTTCTGAAAATAAAAGCATTATTTAAAAACCAAAATAAATAAATGAGTTCAAGGCATGGATCATCTGGGGGGCTTATTAAAATGCAGATCACCATGCCACACCCCTAGAGATCCTATTTTCACAGCTCTTTAGTGGAGCCCGTGAGTGTGCATTTACAACCAATATCCCATGACCTTGATGCAGGTTACACAGGACCCACCCTTTAGGAAGCCCAGAAGAACTGAGAGGGGATATCTGCCTTAGGGAAAGCTGTCCCCATCCTCTCATTAGCACATAAAATATCTTAAATGACCAGGCAGTATTAGCCTCTGATTATTTTCCTCCTTTCCCAGGAACACAGTAGACAGTCCCTGGTTCCAAGAAGACCCCCAGTTCCAAGACGTGAGAGCAGAGGCAAGTGTAAGGGTGGGAGTTTCAAGGTGCTCAGATCTCCTTCCCTCACCCCTTAAAGGGGGCAGCAGGGTGCTTGGGGAAAGGCAGGGCTAGGTGCCACACACCTGTGATGAACCCTGGCTCCGCCTCTAAACAGCTGTGTCACCAGCAAATCACTCACACCCTCAGCCTTAGCTCCAGCATCTATAAAAAGGCCAACTCCTACTCCAAAGGCAACACGGCCTAGGGGATAAGCTGAATACTCTCATGCTACAGAACACTTAGAAACAGTGGAGAAAAAAATGTTCCATGCTTCAGCTTCTCCATCTGTGAAATAGGGATATTAATATTACCTAAGTCACAGGGTTGCTGTGAAGTCTGAGTGAGTCCAAACTGGTAAACTGCTTCCAATGTTCTGAGGAAATTCAGTATATAGCACAGAGAGAGAGAGAGAAAGAAAGCACACAAGTGATGAAGGAACCGAATGGGAAAGCCCAAGAGGAATTCTAGGCAAAAGAGACTTGAGGGATGGGAGAGCAACATGCCAAGAGCTAATGGCTCAGAATTTTCTAGAAATGAGGATTCAGACATGAATCCTCAGAGTCAGAAAGTACAAAAGACTATAGAAAAGATGGAACGAGATATCAAACATCTGAGCCCATCATGACACCTGACACGCAGCAGGCCCCAGATAAATGCTGGCTCCTTTCCTTCCCAGTCCACAGCCGTCTTTCCTTCCTCCCATCTCTGCAGCTGCCTCTATCCCAGCCAGCTCCATCCAGCCTGCCTGCACTCTCCCAGGCCTTTCCAAATCCCACTCCTCTGCAGGAATGATCATTTTTTAAGTCATCCCCAAAGCACACAGAAGACCTGGGAGCCTCTGTCCCGGACACATGAGTGAGGCAGTCCATCGGCCAGACATGCTGTTATCAGAGGCCAGGGAGTGAAGGGGAAGGTACAGAGCCCCTCTCTGCCAGCTGGTTGAAAGAGCCGACAAGATGATGCTGAGGAGGGGTGAGGGGCTGGAGGAAAGCAGCTTCAATTCGAGCTGAGGGCCATACCAGGAGCCAGGTGGAAAAGAGCCCACTTCTCAGGGGATGAAGAGGCCTGAAGCTGTGACAAGGGCTGGGATCCAAAGCTCAGGTTACAGGATGAGCAAGCCTGGCTGGGGAGGCACACCCACAAGTGCCTGGGGGAGCGCGAGTGATGAGTACCAGGGTGACCAGCCTGAGTAAGGTGAGAGCCGGCCTGTAACTGAGCTCTTCCCAGCCCAGTCTCTACAGGGTCTCCCACTGCGCAGCGAGACACCTGTGGCTGCTCCTCAGCCACCCCACCGGGCCTGTGCCCCGGGCCGGTGCACAGGGAGGCAGAGAGGGGAACCCATTCCATTCCTAGGGCCAGGCGCTTAGAGAAGGTGCTACTCCTGTCACTCTCATCTGTGCCACATTCTGTCATGGCAGGCAGTTCTTCCCCTAAAACTTATTCTTCTTTACTAATAAGGGTAATATGTTCATCACAGAATATTCAGGAAATGTAGAATGGTATTTTCTAACATACATTTGTGGCTTGTTTTATTTCCTTCCACTTTTTTTCTATGTACACATATACATTTAACATAGTATCTTAATATATATATACAGTTTGGGATCCTTGATTTTTTGTTTTCTTCCCAATTCACGTTATACATGAAAATTTGCTAGTCTTCATTCAAGCATATGATGAAATTTTACGCACCACGGTTAATGACAACATAAATTGTATTGTATAGCTGTCACAAAATTTATTTAAGCAATTTTGCGGTGCTGGTTGTTTAGGCTGCTTCAGATTGTTTGCTCTTTTACATGAGGACTATATCATGCACTACAACACCCAGCAACATTTCCCACCCTGAATTATGACCACCTATGGTCTGTCCGACATGTCTAGGCACGCAGCCATGTGTCACTGCTCTCTGTCACAGAGGCAGTCTAGTCTCAGGTTCAGGGCTCTACTGCACATATGCCTGCAGAGCCCCCAGCACCCTGCACACAGCAAATACTCAATATGTGCTGACTGTTTAAGACCCAGATCCCTCAGACTGTACGGACCCGATGAGTTTCATTTGCCAAGGGTCAGGACTGCAGGTGCCCACAGTGGCCTCGTCTGGTATTCTGCGTCTTCTCTGGGCACTGAAGAGGTAAAAAAAGCCACTACCATCCAGCCCTAACTTTAAAGACCCCCATCACCTCCATGACACATGAAGTCTCGAGCTCTGGCCTCTCCCAAGTTGACCAGAGCTTCACTGTGCTCACGACCCTGGTAATCCTCAACCCCAAGACAGCATGGTGGGGACAGGGCCCTGGCTCTGGTGCCAGACAGGGTTCCAATCCCAGGTACCGCAATGGTCTGGCAGGGAGGCCAGAGGCCTGCTTGGGTTGCTGCATGGCCCCAGGGCAGTGGAGAGGAGCTCTCCACTACCCTGGTCATGCTGCACACTTCACCCCAGGCAGAGCGTCCAGCCTTCAGTTCACAGAGGCCCCCACTTGGCCTGCAGAGGCAACTGAGTTTACAATCTCTGGTCCATAGACATTGAAATCTAGACTCCTAGACTCAACGTTGCCTCCTAGGCTCTCCATCTGCGGGTGCCATCCATTATCAGCTCCCCATGCCACAGGGGCAGCTCTGTAGTAGCCTCTCCCTGCCTGGGACACCTGCCTCCTTACTGCTGCCTAAGGAAATCTTCTCTCAAACAGCGCCTCCCCAGGAGGTCAGAATTCTGCTCCCCCTCCTCTGCTGCCATTCTACCTTGCCCCCTTCACACATCTGGATGAGACTGAGCTGCATGTGTCCCTCTCCCCCTCAACACTTCAAAGTAGAGGTAGGTTACTCACTCCAGAGATTTGTTGATTTGCACTGAGCTCCCCATTTGAAGGTAATGCAGACACCCAGACAAGACCTGGCAGCTGACACCCAGAGGAGGTGTATTTGTGGTCAGGGGAGGGGTGGGGGGGTACTTAGGCCTCCACCTTCAGCCCTTGGGGATGAAAAATAATAGCTGCCAATTATGGAGCTACCTATATGCCAAGCACCTTACAGACATTATAATTACTCCTAATCACCTTGATGAGGGAGACACATTATACCCCCATTTTATAGATGAAGAAACTGAGGTTCAGAGAGGTTAAGTAACCTGCTAAGGTAGCAGGCTAGTAGATTCAAATCCAGGTCTGCGTGACCCAAAGCCTGGCTCTCAACCGCCACATTAGTGGTGAAGAGCCTTAAGCACAGGGTGAGTACAACCACATCAGTGACCAGCACCAGGTTCCAGAATTCCTTTACTCCCCCCAGAGCCTTCCCTCCAAAATCAGTGACAGTCTTCAAGTTTGTTTGCTGATAAGAGATGCTCCTCTTACCTTAGCTCAATTCAGCAAACACCTCCATATGCTTATAAAGTGCCTGACATTGTACTGGCTCTTGGGGGTGGGGGACACTGAATTCACTCTCTAGGGACACTGAATGGGTGTTACAGAGGTGGAAGGGAGCAAGGGGTGGACATGGTAGGTCTGAGGACTTCCTGGTGGAGGCGGTGACGAAGCTCATCTTGAAGGCTGAGTGTCCCTCCACTTCCTGGGACACCACCCCCTGACCCAGAAGCCTACATTCCAGATACACCCTGACCAACAGCTACTTAAAGAAACACTCTACCTCTTCAGTCTTTGGGTCTTTGCTCAGGCAGCAGCCTCCATGGAAATGTTCCTCTTTGAGACAGACACAGATACACAGGCACATACACCCCTAGCTACCTGTGAAATTCCTCCCTGTGTATCAAAGACCCAACTCAAATCCCAACCTGTCCACCTGCACAGTCACCCACAAGGCAGGACAGTGCTCCCCTCCCCTAAGTTCCCACAGCACACCTATGGCTCTAAGGTGCCATTTACATTCAGTGAATGAGACACACACACAGTTGCACTGTATCCCCTGCCAATCCTTGCACATAGCAAGATAGTCAGTTCAGCAGATATTTGTTTATGCTATGACCAGTTCAAAGCAAAAAATATATGATACAATTCAAGAAAAACAGCGGAGTGAAAAGGGGCCTCCCAGCTAGATGACCTGGAAAAATCCCCCTTTGCCTTCAACTCTTCATCTCCTCCTCATGGCCAGTCATGCCTGGCAGGGATCATCCATCACAGGGAGGTTGTTGAAAACTCAGTAAGACAACACTCCTGCACCAGCACAGGGCCTGGGACATGGGACGACTCAGTAGTGCCAGCTCTGGCCACCTGGTCCACACTCAGAATCATCTGCAGTCCAAGCATAGACAGACAGGCTCCCAGCAGGTGGAACCCCTCACTCAGTGTTTTTCAAACCTCCCTATGACCCATAGCAAGTCATACGCTGCGACCCCGTATACAGGCAAACTAAAGAGAACTGCAATAAAAGTCCAAGAAACACTGCTCCTCATGGTGAGGGGCACACACTGATACTGTCTCTTTCATCTTCTCTATTTCATTTCCAAACTGATTTCACAAACCACTTCCAGGGCACCCTGTGGTTGGAAAGCCAGGCCCTCACTCACCCAGGGTGTCAGAGCCGCTCTCCACCGTTTCGTTGACCTTCCTCGCAACTCTGGCCACCGCCTCACCCATCTTCCTCAGCATGCAGACTCGGGTGTCCTGCTGCCAGCCACCAGGCTGGTCTGCTGCTCACAAGGGGGCCTGCACCTGGGGAAGACACAGGGGCATGAATCCCCTGCCCACCGGCCAGGGACCCCGGCTGCTGGAAGCCTGCACGGACAGCTCCAGGCCACTCACCTCCTCCTGAGGGGCCCAGAGCCCAGGCCACATCCAGCTTGGCCTTTGAAGCAGTCGATCTGCCCATCAGAGGGTGGGGGCAGCCTGGCCCTACCAGTTTCCTGGGAGGATCGACACGTGTGACCACACCAGACACGGGGCCAGGGCCTGAAACAGTGGCCAGGCGGGAGTGAAGACTCAGGTGCTCGCTGGCCTGTGACTCACTTAACAGGCGGGGCAGTAAGGAGGAGGCGGGGCACAACCAACTGCAAGGAAGAGACACTCATTCCTCCATCTCACAGCCTGTGAACTGGTGCCCTGTCCATGACCCTCTAGGACAACTCCTCCAGCTCCCTGTTTGCCCCACCCACTTCCGCCAGGCTCCCCGTGTGCTGGGAAGTGGGCACAAAGGGAAATGAAACACAGGCCTGCCTGGTCAGAGCTCGCAGTCTGGCAGGTGGGTGGGTCTCTAAGAATTCCCTCTCCAAGTACCAGTATGGAGGAAGTTGCCTGTTTGGCCTGCAGACCTGATTATCAGCCTGATGCTGAATTTATCTGCAAGACCCCAAGGGAAAAGGGGGTAGAGCAGGAAAATGAGAGAAAGGAACTGGATCACTAGAGAGAACAGACTTAAACAAGAGTCAGGAACACAATAAAATTATAAAGTATTAAAAACATAAAGGACACTAGAAATGTTGCCAACTCCCTTTTTGTTACAGAGAAGGAAACTGAGGCAAAAAGAGGGACTAAATGACCTGACCAAGGTCCTTAGTGAGTAAGTGGCAACAATAAGCTCAGCCCAACTCCACATTCAGTGCTTACTTCTTTACAAGTCACCTATGTCACCAGTGACAGCACCCCACAGAGAGACTAAACTTGAGGTCAAAGTCAATGCCTTCCTTTGCCCCGAGTCCCACCTTTGCACACAGCTCAAGGTGCTCTAATGAACTCAATCTGAGGGTCAAAGGCAGAAGAATGTAAAGGGCAGGAAAAAAGGGGGTGAGGGTAGAGCTCAGAGCTGCTAGCAAACACCAAGAAAAAGTCCCCATGTGCTCAGTTGGACAGGGCCGAGCTGGAGGTTGGCCAAGCCCAACCACGGTGCTTAGGGGAGAGAGTGGTGAGTTCAGTGTGTATGTGCATCTCACCAAGGAGGCCAACACTGAAGGTGTGAAACACATGGTGCAGTGGGAAAAGACTGTTTTTTGAAGACAGGCCTAATACCTAAATCTGTTATTTATTACTTGAGAAGTCTTGGAAAAGTGCCTTAACTACTCTGAGCCCGTTTCTTCATCTGAAGAGATCTAGTAGTAACCTCACTGGATTCAAACAAAGATTGAACAAAATACATATATCTTTCTAGCCCAGAGACCAGGACACAGTTACTTAATAAATTCTAATTGAGAGGATAAGACAATACACATGCAAACATGATGCCAGCTTCTAATCCCAGTTTCATAACCATGTGACTTTGAACAAACAACTTAGTGGAACTCATCTTTAAGGAATGAGTAGAATTTTCATCCCTCCACCTCCAGGAAGTTTTCCCTGATTGCCCCAGCCCTTAGTGTTCTCTCCTTCTGAGTTTCAGAAGCACTTAATGTCCTAGCACAAGACACTCTGGTTGTTTATAAGCTTTTTAAATTATACACATTTGTCTCCCCAATTGGCCTGCAGGCAGCTTAGGGCAGAAAGCAGATCTATACTGTGTTTTCTGCCTGCACTTTACACCACACACTGAAAACAGATGCCCAGTTAGTATCCCCAATGGTGATGAATGATGATCAACAACTATCATTGAGTTTCAAATCTAAATACAAATCAACTGACTTTTACAATAAATCTGAGACACTGTCTAATTGAGAAGGGTCAGAAATTCAAATGCCTAACAGTGCCAGGTGGGCAAGTTGCACCAGGTGAGCCATGATAGGACAGGAGGGGATAGTGAGGACTACTGCAAAATAGACCCAACACCTTCACCATGCTCCCTTTAAGACCATCCCCCTAAGCCTGAGTCACAGCAGTGCTGCTGGAATCTTCATGACTTAGTCTAACCCCTTTACAAATTAAATAAACAACTGAAGACCCAAGAGGGTTGGCAAATCAGATAGATGAAATTAAAAAACCTGGGTCTTCTAATTCCTAAACCAGGTATTCCTACTATACCCCTCCTTTCCCCATCTCTAATATTTATCATCAGTAATCATAAACATATATTGAGCATCTACTAGGTATAGGGTGTAAATGAAGAGGAAATACAGGAAAAAGCTCTGACTTGTGATTCCGACGAGGAAGAGCTTTCTAAGAAACATCACAGAGGCAATCCTGGCCTCTCAGTAGAGGGGAAAGAGAAGGTAAATCTCCAACCTACCCAGGGTCTGTGCTAACCCTAGTGGGATTGTATCTAGGCTAATTACTTTCAGACACTATGCCTGCAATTCTTCTAGCTGCCACCAAGTGGGACAGTGGTGCTAAAGGCCTTAGAACCCCTTGATGAAAACTAGTCTGATTAGAAACTTCACCCCTGCCCGGTGGGGCGTGGCTCAGCGGTTAAGCGTGGACCTAGGATCCAGGCGATGAGGGTTCAATTCCCGGTCAGGGCACATACCCGGGTTGCGGGTTGCAGCTGATCAATGACTCTGTCATCACTGATGTTTCTATCTCTCTCTCCCTCTCCTTTCCTCTCTCTGAAATCAATAAAGATATATTTTTTTAAAAAAAAGAAACTTCACCCCTGCCAGCAGGCTCAGACACCATACAGTATGGGACAGCAAAGCAAGAACAGTAGCAACCTGTAAAGTCTGTAAGTCAGAGCAAGTCACTAGAGGGAGGGACCCTTTATGTTCCAAAGGATGCTCTAGGTACAGCACAGATACGCCCTAGCCCCCATGAGGTTCCTGTTGCCTAAAATCATCAAAATTGCTTACTGGCTAGGGAACCACCCTCCCTTCCTTCACCTAAAACTATCCCTCCCTCCAAGGGAGAATTCCTTCATAAAGTTCAGCTTACAATCTCTCTCCCTGGTCTGATGACAAAGATCTGTCACTCTTTGGCACAGGCAGGGCTGTGAGATGGAAGAGTGGCAGGGCCACATGAGGTATAAGAACCAAGATGGGGTAAGAGGGATCCAAAAATGAGGGAAGAACAAACTTGGAATGATAGGAGTCTAAAGTGTGTCCCCAAAAGGGCTCCTACAAGGTTGTCCAACTTCACTGACTGCTCCTTTCCGCCCCAACCCAATGCAGGGCTCTTTGACCCAAAAAAAGCAAGAATTTATTTAGCATGTAACAGGAGTCCAGAGAGAAAGGAGATTTAGGGAGGGAGGAAAAAATAAAGAAAGCTGCTCCTGTTTTCTTTTGCTTTAAACTGTTTTTGAGGAAAATGGAAAATTGTCCGAGTCACATATAAGTGATGGAGTGTAAACCCCCATAGGCAGGGCCACCTCTAGGAATGTGGGACATCTGTCTATATAAACAATTTGGGTGAATCAAAATCAGCATGTCAGCACAATTCTGGCTGTCCAATCTCATGTAGTCCCATGAAAAAAATATCACACTGGCCAGTGGGAGCAATCAGCATTCAAGGAAGTCCTTCTGGGACCAACTCCATAGGCCCAAGTGCTGGACTCCTTGAGGCATCTGGTCAACCCCACAAGCAAGCGCAGTGGTAGCAGAAAGATTGTCCCAAATGGGAGAAACAGGAACCATCAGCCCATATAGGTCTGGTCTGGACCTGAGTACCCAAATCTGATGTCTCTGCTGGCCCCAGCTGTTCCCAGGCACTAAAGAACAGCCTTAGAAAATTTCAAGAAAAGCACTCCAAATCCTGGAGACCCTTAGGCACAAGGTCCCAACTCACACTGCTGATGTCCTAGCAACACAACCCTCTCCACACAGTCCCAACTCGCCTTTCCTCAGAGTGTGCATCATAGTCCCAGGAAATGTTTAAATCCAACAGACATCTCCTGGGCACCTCCTACAAGGACTACAGCTACACTCGGGGAGTAAAGGTACAGAGACAGGGCATAGGCCAGAATGAGCTTCCCATCAGGTAAGACTCAATGACAAGAGGCAAAATGAGCCAGCCTCTAGTAGCTCAATGACACCGGGCCCAAGGAATATGTGTGCCCTCTATCACGAAGACACATGGCATTGCTGGGAGGAGGGAACAGAGACAGGAGCTGAGAAGAGTTACCCAAAATGATGAGAGAAAGAGGGAGACAGGCAGCCAGTCTGTCCCCAGATTACTGGCGGAGGGGGTTGGAGGCCCTTCTGGAAGTCTGTCCTCTGTTTCTCTGCAGGGAGCTGTGGAGAGTTTTTTGAGGTTAAACCAAAGTTTTGGAAAGTTCTCAGTGTTGGAGCAGTCCTGTTTGTAAAACAGACATATCACCTTTCCCCCTGGGTTGTTTTGAGCAGTAAATGACACAGAACTTTTGAGAAAGGTCTTTGCAAACTTAAGCATTTCCTACACAAGGCATTACCAAGAGGTGATTAAACAGGTACAGTAAGTTAAGATATAATAAACTGAATGACAGAAAAAAAACAAGGTGCCCTGCTTTATGAGAATTGGCAACACAGCCCTCCTGTACCTAAAACTTCATTTCATCTGGATAGGAGACTGGGAAAGGGGTGACTTTTGCTCAAACCCTGACAGTAGCCCCCTCCTCGCTCCCGCCCTCACCAGTGAGAATTCTACCTTATCTGGAGCCCCAAGATCTGTGCAAAGGAGCTGCTTCGACACCCCGTCCACACCAGCTGCTCCTATATTTAGTTACTGGTGTGGTCACTTGGGAACTTTAGAGGCTGGCAGCCGCTCGGAAGGGCAACCGGAGCCTCCTCAGCCATGTGTGCAAGCTCCCCCCACCGTCGATTCCAGCGGGTCTCCAGGACCACACCAACGGGGGAGCCGATGGGGAGGTAAGAGCTGGCGGGCTG